TTATCAGGAGATGAGGAGGAAGCTTGCAGATTTATAATTTTTTCTTTTGTAGGTTTTCTATGTGAGTCGTATGTTTTTTTGTTGTTGAAAATTTGTTACATTCTCTTTTCACCATCATTTTATTTATATATTTTTCCTTTTGCAGGTTCTCGATGGTCTTTTTTATGCTCATTTTACAAGTTTTCTATGGAAATATGGTCTAATGGTTAAATTTCTCTTCCACCTAATTTTATATGTTTATAATCTTAGCTTTTTTTCTCTTTCTGTCATTTTGATTTATTTACAAGGATGATGGAGGAGACTTCAGTTGTGCATCATTTGTATGTTTGGATGAGGAAGGCTTGGATTAGGAGTACGTAGGTCTTGTTAGGAAAAGATTGTACGATTTAATTACCATATGTATCAATTGAATATTTATATTTAATTGGTAGGAATTATGTTTGTTGTAGAATAAAGATTGGTTAACTATGTAATAACTATTGAATCTTCAAGTTTTATGAAAGAAACTATTTTTGAGTGTATATATTCATTAATAAAGCATTATGGTTGGTTTTCCAGTTAAAATCGTTATATAGCACCATATGAAATCAAAAAGAACTAAAATGTAGCAGTTTGTGAACTTATTAAACGACGGTTTTCATAATAAATCATGGTCTTTACAGATAATTAATGACGGTTTTTATAAACTAACCGTTGGCTTTATAGATAATTAACGACGGTTTTTATAAAACAACTGTCGTCTTAACCTACAATCCACGACAGTTTTCATAAAAAACCGTCATCTTAACCTACAATCCATGACGGTTTTATTAAAAACCGTCGTCTTTCCTCCTATAATTAACAATCTTTACCTCTAAACAACGACAATTTTCTTTAAAAACCGTCGTCTTTACAGATAAACAACGACGGTGAAAAGCCGTCATAGTTTGACACCCAAAAAGATGGCGGTCGATTTAACGACGGTTTTCAAAGTATTACAACGACGGTGGATCCCCGTCGTCTATTTCGTTTTTTGTAGTAGTGCAGGGAAATCCTCCATAAATAAGGAAAGGCAATATCTAATTAGGAAGTAGAGGAATGATAGGAATATTGAGAAAGCCAAAACCCACTTCGATAAAGGAGAAAATGTGCTGTTGTTATTTGGAAATAATTAACTCCAACTCAAAGAAGGAATTAGGAAATTGAGCTTGGGTAGAAAAATAGGAACAGTTGCCTACAAAATCTTCACTAAACACATTAAACTAACTAATTTCACACAAAAACAATGCAAATAGAGATAGATCTTATATGCAATATATGAATCTATCATTTGCCTTGTGATAGGTCCAAATGGTGAGTGAGGTATACTGGGCAAAGAACCACACTAGCTCAACGTCGATGAGGAAAGAGAATGAGTTCTTTGAGATGGGAATTAGGAGAGAGAGACTAACAAAGTGAATTTAAGTGAATTAATAATTAAAGGGTGTTTTAGGAATAATGGTGGGTGGAAAGAAAGAATTGTGTTTTTTTTCAAATTAACATGGTGAGTGAGAAAATATGACAGGGGAGTGGAAATTGCAACACTTTTTTTTTCTTTTTTTGATGATCTTTTTTAGTGAGAGGGGCGATAATATACTAAACTCACACATACTACACAAATGCAAGGACTTGAACCCATAACCTTGCCTGATAGAGTAATTAATCCAAATTACTACACTAGTGGATCCTTTGCAGTAGCACTCTTAAACAATCACATTTTGGGATTAGATACGCCAATAATTAATATATAAAAATAGATGCCACCCACCTCAGCCCTATTGGCCCTTAAACCTCAATTGCTTTATGGGTTGTAAATAATGTTTGTTTAGACAAGCATGCAACATTTTATGGGTCTTGTTCTCTCACCTACCTCCTCTGTCACATATCACAGTGTTAACAGCTGCTGATCAGTTCACTTGATGGACAGGACAGGGCTTTTATTTTATTTTTATACAGGGGATATTAAAAGGGAAATCGAGAACCTTTTCAAGAATAATTTCTTTTATCTACTCAACCTATAAGCCCCTTGAGACAGGACAAAGCATCTTAGCTTATGCTTATATTCAGATTTAACAAACAAAATAAATTACTTTTACAGCAGACTAATTGCGCTTAACAAGGACAAACAAATTTGCCAAGTTCTTAATGTGAGCAAACCGAGGTGACTTGGAGAATTCTTCAAGCTTGTCCGAATATCTCTTGAAAAGTTCATCAACATTGAGGTCGGATCCGAAATGCTTGCACAGGATGTCTTCCATTGCAGCTCTTGCATGAAGGCAGGAAACTCGAACCTCTTCAGCACTAGAAAGCTTTGCCGGGAAGCGCATTTCCTCCAACCTCTCAATACTAAAACCAAGGTTTTTGTTTTTCGTACCCAACAATATCACTACTTCAACTTCACTGGCACTTGGAACGTAAATGGGTAGATTGAACGAGTCCACAGCAGCCTCACTTAACAAGCCCTGCAATCAATTACCAAATATACGGCCATTAACTAAAAACACAAGTAAATTACAGAAATGGACGTAGACGTGGGTTGAGCCAGTTAGTCACAGTAGTGAGCCCATCTCCTGGCACCAAGTTTGGATCGCTTGTATAAAAAAGAAAAGGACAGAAACGGGAAGATAAAAAATTATGTAGCAAATTGATATTAGTACTTAATTTGAGCCTGGCCCTTACCTCTTTGACCATATCTGCAAGTGCATCTCCCAAACACTCCAAGATATTCATGAGCGTTGACTCTGAAGGGAGGCTTGGCTCTGGCCTGCAGGGCATGAGAATGGCCAGCAACCCATCATCCGCCAGTTCTGCTGACCTTGCAGTGAAGAAAGCCTCCATGTCCCTCGCAAACTGAGCAGCATAAGCCTCTTCAACTTTACTGGATTCACTCCTCGCGTACGTAATTCTTCCCTTGTTCCAAGCTGGAGATACTTCTTTAGTGACTTCTTGAGGAACCCTAGTGAGCCATTGAACTGCAAAAGAGGAGTGCATTAAGTTCATTGAGGCCTTAGGAAATAGCCGGCCATGGAAAGAACCTGGAACTCCGGCTGCCATGTAAGTCCTGTCAACTGGGAAGGCTTTAAACAGAGTGTTGAAGTCGTTGGCAACATGATCGTTGAAGAAGACTTGGAATTCTGGCAATTGGGTTTCAAAGCCCTGAGCTTTGAACTCAAGCTTCACAGCTTCTATGAGGGCCCGGACACAAGCAAAGGTGTTGGGTCCAACTGAACATCCAAGGTCTGCAATTTTAAATACTGGTGTGACAGTGGTGGCATTGGAATTTTTATGAATTGTGAGCTTTTCTCGGATGCTATTTCTCAACAAGACCTTTGCTTCATCAAACCCCTCTCCCTACCATCAAAGTCAGTTATATATTTTCATCATCACAAATTCATACTTCATCTCGACATTTCAAGGAAAAAAAACAATATATGAGTCTCTTGGAATATAAACAGTTAGCTAGCCTGGTTTTAGTGGGAGAGACATATATAAACCTGGTACTTGGAATTCTGCTTGTAGCTGTTGAGGCCATCGCCACCATTCATTGCAAAGGAGTCCGCCATGTCCTGATACTTAAGCTTGACTCTGCCTCTTCTATGTTACAAAGTCAGGTTGTTTCATTTTTATGTAGATTCTCAAATATATAAATGGTTGGGCATCAATCATGCCAAACTGATTAAATCGGTGGATTTGGACCGTAATGGCTGGTTTGATTTGGTTTTGATCAAGAAAAGAGTCAAATGGTTTAAGCTAAACCTAATGACTTTACAAGAATAACCTTAGTCATTATCACCTTACAAAATAAAATTACTTGAGCACAACTTGAGAGAAGTCCTCCATCAAAGTTCAAACCCATGTAACCCCATCCATTGATCTCATTTTCTTAATTCCAACCATTTTCTTGCTAAACAAGCCACATGCAAGAGACACAGTCAAATGTAAAAGTCAAATGACATTGGCTCTTTTGGACTCTTTGGAGCGCGCATATAATTGTTCTACGCCCTCAAGTATCAGCCCACAAAATTGATAATCTCATCCAAAAATATGTTAGGATTAAAATGTCCCCAAATAGAATTGCAATAGGATTAAATGGAAACAATTATTTTCTTTAATTTTCTATTTTTAATTTTCTGTGCTATAAAACAATTTTTTTAAAAAAATTACAGAACCGTGGCTGGAATGGCATTAAGTTGGATCTGAATTGGGATTAGTTTCACACTTCACAGCGTGTGGGGAGATAAATCGAACGTTCACCTGTCTGATATGCTCAAATTGACACAAATAAATAATAGAGAAACGCATTTTGTATATAGATTCTCTTCCATGTGCAATCCAAACATGAGCAAGCTCCATCCAAATGCAAGGCCGACCGAAAAACCCATCAAAATATACTATTTTTCTATTCTCTCCACTTGGGCGACAACTTTTACCCATGTACCTTTTCCTTCTTCATCCCCTAATCTATTCACAAACATTACAGCAAAAAAAATCAAAGAGCAGGCAAACAAAACCTCAACAGAAGTACGCAACTCACAAAAACTTCACTCGAGACCATTATCATGGTTTGTGTTGTGCATAAATTGAGGTATGGACTGCTTGGTGAGGAGTCGGAGCCTTTCCATTTACAAGCAATTGTTCTATGAAATCCACACGAAATGATTTGAACTGGTACAACTGACAATAGCATTGGAACAAGAACAGAATGGTTATGTACGAGGGTAAATAATTAATACCGTTGTTAATGAAAATCAACAATCTTAAATTCCACAAATAAGACTGCATTCAAATTAGCATCTATTTTATTACTCAATCTTTTAATCAAACAAAAACGAAACAACGTCCAAATTAGTTAAATTAAGAACCTTTTCTTTCCAAGAAAAATTGACATGCCGATGAAAGGGGTCCAATATTGTCAGCTGATCTCCTTCTTTGATCTGTGAGAGCAAGGTTCAATTTGACTCTTAAATCACTTAAACTGATGAAAGACAAAGCATGTTTGCTGAATACATAAAAAGGTCAGACAAATCCATATTTGGAATGTAAAGAAAGTACCATGTACTTTCTATTTCTCATTTAATTCTTAAGCCACTAACTCTTACCAAATCATACTGAATGCCATAAACTGACACAACGAAGCATATTTGATTTGCATCACATGCCAAATAATACCTAAAAAGGAGAAAGAGAGGATAAAATGGTCAAGAACAACGCTAAAAACCTAAAAATACAGATGCACTCAGCACCCGGCAATCTCTCTCACACACACAGAGCAAGTTCATATTATCAAGCACTTTAATTACACTGCATCACAGTTCCACATATTAGCAATAGAATGAAAGAGATAAATTTAGGCATTCAAGTAGATATGCAAGGTGCTTCCAGAGGACTTACAGCGGAGCAACATTCTCATGCTTAATGAAGAATAACACTTTTCCTACTAGTGCTACTGCTTTGTTCAGACCCTCTGACAGAAGATCTACAGTAGCTCTTCTGTATGAGGAGTTCACTTATAGAAGATGCAAACAAGGAAAATCAGTATATCCCCACGATAAAAATGGACAATGGAGCAGGTTCAGTCAAATTCACAAATCACCATAAACTACAAACATGAAAGATTAAGGAAGCATACAGTTCACAGCAGCCAGAGATGATGCTAAAGACGCAAGCCGTTTAGATCTAGCATGTCCCTGTGAAACAGAACAGAATCTATAAGAACAAGTACATGTTGTAGAATGGTGTCTTTCAACCAGTAAACTACTTAAAAAGGGAGGAAAACGCATTGAAGACCCCAAAATACAAAATTTGCGACAAGAAATGCATTACCCTTAACAAATTATCTAACTTGTCGAGAAGGTTAACAATCTTTTGAACCTCCTCCATAGCATTGAGACCAGGATCCTTCAAAGCAGCAGCTTCAAATCCCGTAAGGGCCCTTTCATAGTTTTCTAGATATTTGTTTACCTAAAATCAGAAACTCAATGTTATATTTGTTTTGAATAGAGGAACTTGTGAGTAATCGCAGACATAAATCAGAAGGAAAAATAAACTTACAGTGGCAGAGTTAAAATATAGGTCTGGATTGGACTTCATTCTTTCATCTTTTTCCTGATATGTAATATTAAAAATCAGAACATCTTCCATGCTTATAGAAAGAAAAAGCCTAAATTGCAGCATATGGATAAATGAATAATTCCCCTAATCATGATTACTGTGACACCCATAACTGCAGATGGTCATTAACAGGAACCAGATCTCTAAGGAAGCTCTTACTTTACACACTTACAGCATTTTGGTATGCCTTCAAAGACTTCAGAAGTTTGGCGTGGTCCCAAGCTCCAGTTACAAAGAAACTTGTAAGACATGCATTTCCAAGATTATCTGTGAATAGGGTTAGACAATGTTAGGTAGAAAGAATAAACACTAATCTCAAACAATAAGCGTACAAGCAAAACAAGGGCTTAATTTAATCACTTGAAAATATTTTTATCATGCATGTACAAGATGTTAATGTACACCAATATGCAACCCAAAGAGAAATGATCAACTTATCATCTATCAATCAAACTAAGCGAACCAAAAGGAGACTAGCAAGCATCCAAGGTAAATGGCAAAGCAAACTAAGCGTAAAGTGCCATACGATATATCCAGTATAAATCTTACTCAAAGTTGAAGAATATAGAACTTTTTGAGATGGTCGAATATGAGATCTTACACCAAGAATTCCCATCCTTGACATCCAAAGTTATGGCTTCCTTGGCATGTTGAATGCTTTCATCAACAAGTTCTGCCTGATTTTCAGTACCTAGAGACAGGGATGAGATTTAGATAAGCACAATGACGCACAAGCCATGAAAGACAACAGGAAAAATGAGTTGAGAAACAAAAGGTTGCCTTGAGCCATTTTCCTTTCGAGCATGGACAGTTGACAAAGTATCTGTTTGTTGGGACCCTGTACAAGACCGAAAATAAGTGTCTATCATAAAACTTACAGTAAAATGAATTGAGAGGTCACTGTGATGAAAACACAGAAATCAAATCAATGATAACCTTGCTTAGTGCAAGAGTAAAGCAGTTCTTGGCTGAAGATAGATCTCCTTTCTTCCAAATGCAGTTACCTAAACATAGCCAAGCATCTGCAAGAGATGGATTCAACTTAACCTGCAGCGTTGATTAATCTATTTCAGGAAGTGAACTTCAGCTTGAGCATTGCAAACATGCTGAAATACTGGAAAATACAACGCATTGTTGCTTACAGCTTTTGAGAGATGATCCTCTGCTTCTTTTCTATAGTCCGGTAAGACATCCAATATCTTTCCTCTCAGATATTCGTATTTTGCACGCTGTGCTGGAAGTTTCCTTTGCTCTGGTAAAGGACATAATGTTTGACAATTAAACTGAATGACATGCAAACATTACAAATATAACCAAATAACAAAGAAATTAGCGGTGCAACAATTTAAACAACCAAAGAACCAAATAAGACCAACCATAAACTAGTTTTGTCAGTATCCCAGACTTATAGGCATTATCATTGAAACGAAAAACACTTCTATTTCAACCAATGTAGCCCAAATTTGGTCCTCCAAAGTTCAAACAAGCATATCAAGGAAAACCCATCAAAGATAAAGGCACAAATAAGCTTGAAAACACAAAAAGGACAGCCTTTCAAATGGTTTTCACAAAAGGTAAAATGAAATGGGCACATGGAAATATTACCAGGAGGAATGGAATCGAGGAGGCTGATTGCTAGATCGGATTCGGCATTCAATTTGGCGATTTTGTCATCTGGGTTGGGCGGAAAGTAGGCGTCTCGAACTAGGTAAAGCGCTTCGGTAACTCTGGTGGCTTTGACCAAAGCATCGTCTTCCACTGCTTGACTGCTCATCGCTCAGGCACGCACAACAGAGCCAACTGTGAGAACGCAAGAAGACGGGTTCGAAACGCGCCGTTTTGGCCTGCCCGAAAGAAAAAATGGTGACCCGAGGGAGTGAATGTGGAGCCTATTGTTGACTAGTGTTCTCGTGGATGTGGGACAGAGAGAGAGAGCCCAGGTCGATGATGACTTGACTGTCTGTTTGTATCTGTTGCCTGCTGGATATTACAAACGACGTGCAATATTTACCGGTTAAACGCATGTCGTTTCTTTTTGGGCCTCCTTTGTCAAACGTGCGTATCGCGAGAGAATGTGTTGCGGATAAAATGGCCGGCATAGGCCATAGGCCTGTCTGTGGAGTTGGGCTACACTATTAGCTTAAGTGGGCTACCCTCTAATTTTTAATCGGAAAGGCTAGAATGAGGAGGTTGAGTGAGGAGGTTATTTGAGGAGGTGAAATCTCACCATCAACAACAAAAAACAAAGCACAAGGGGGGGGGGGTGCATTGGGGGGTCCACACCCCTTTTGATGGTAAGATGGGCCTCTTCAAATAAACTCCTCAAATAGCATCCTCATTATAGAAGCTCCCCTAATTTAATTGAAGTTTAAGAAAATAAAGATGACTGCTGAAATAAGAAAAAGAGACAACAAATAGAAGTTACATCAAGAATTTAGATTTTTTTTAAATACAAATGATAATGTAAATTACTCTAAATTAATCTAATTTATACAAAGGGAATTAAAACTTTAGTACAACGGGATGGACCTATTGCCTTAGCCAACTCGCATATCCCACGTTTCCAAAATTGAGCATTTTTAGATTTAAAAAGAATTTTTTTGCTAAGTTAATGTTGAAAATAGAGCAGATTATGTCTTTTCTTTTTTGTTTGTTTCTAAATCTCCTCCATTTAAACAGAAGTAAATGCAACATTTTATTTGTTTCGCTAAAATAAATATTGCTTTGCAAAGGACTCACTAGTTAAGTGGTTTAGAGCAGTTGCTCATCTAGGCAAAGTCCCCAGTTTGAGTCATAGCATCAATTTAGTATGTATGAGTTTAGTATAGGCTTAATTACACCAATACCCCTCTGAAACTATGGTTAAATCTCACATTGCCCATTCAAACTTAAAGTGGCCCACTTACCCCGCTTGACCGTGGTTTGGTAACCCACTTTGCCCTCTGCCATCAACTTCATCCAAAAGTCTGTTAATTTTGATGACATGGCATGGGTGTTTTTGTAATTTCATACACATGGATCATTATCCACCATTTGAGGGGTGACGTGGAAAGTGGAGCCCACTTCCACATAGATAAAAATATAATTAAATATTCTAATGATTTAAAACTAATTAAAAATAAATAAAATATTAAAAAAAGGCTTATTTACACCAATGCCCCCTAAAATTATGATCAAATCTCACATTGCCTCCCAAAACTTAAAGTGACCCATTTACCTCGCTTGATCGTAGTTTAGTGACCCACTTTGCCCATGCCGTCAACTCCATCCAAAACTCTGTTAAAATCAATGAAGTGGCAGGGGTATTTTTGTAGTTTCATACATATAGATCATTACCCACCAATTAAGGGGTGACGTGACAAGTGGAGCCCACCTCCACATAGATTAAAATATAATTAGATGTTCTAATTATTAAAACTAATTAAAATAATTAAAATAAAAAACACAAAATAAAATTAGATCCCATCTCAGCCTCCCTTGCTCTCATCCTTATCTCAACCTCAACACCCAACTTCGAATTTGGGTTGTTTGAAACCCAGCCCCCCTTCCCCAACACCCCTCATCTCTCTCTCTCGCACAGATTAGCAGCTTCAAGCCCATCCCCATCATCTTTACCCGCCACTCTAACAACTCCTTCCGAGTACGACACACTCAACGAGTGGTGGCGCGGCGACCTCATCTTCGACGGTGATGAAGGAGAAGTACCCATCTCTTACCCACCGGAAACTGAAGCCCTACTTTGTGAGACCTCGTTACAAACTTGGAGGCTTTTGGTTTCCCCTGCTTGCCTCCCTTCATCAAACCACCTTCTGGGCATTCATGGGTTTTGATCCATTTTTGTTGTGTGGAAAATTGGTTGTGTTAGGGTATGAGCTGTGAATGATTGGATCTATTGAGGGAAAAGAGAAATGGTGGCTGTAGGGAGAGAAGGTTGGGGCTGTGAGGTGGGAACCTGTGGGGAAAAGGGGATGCGAGCTCTCTTTTTTCTTACTAATAATTTAATTTTTATTTTCTTATACTTTTTTCTTTTGGCTTTTTGAATTTTTATTGTTGTTTTTATTTTTTTGAATTTGTTTGATTAGTTTATTGTTTATGTGGATGAGTCTGTATAAAAATAACTCACGTGTACAAAATTACTTAAACATCCTTGCCACGTCATCAATTTTAACAGAAGTTTGGATTGAGTTGACAGCATGAGGCAAAGTGGGTCACCAAACCACAGTCAAGTGGGGTAAATGAGCCACTTTAAGTTTAGGGGAGCAATGTGAGATTTGACCTTTGTTTCAGGGGCATTGGTGTAATTAAGCCTTAAAAAAATTAGAACTAAAAAAAATCTCTCCCTCCCTCTCTCTCTCTCTCTCTTTACTCAACCCCCTCATGGCAGCCATAACCGTCCCTCCTCAAGCCACCCCTCCCTGCCCAAACAACTACCAACCTAGATGGTGGGGAAAATTGTTCCCCTTTTCTGACTAATATTCCAATCACTCCCATCAGTTTAATCTCTTACCCACAAACCAAACCTCTCTCTCTGCCTTTGTCTTTCCCATGCTTCCTACATCATGGTTGTACTCTCAACCGAATCACCACCACCACCGTTGAAAAATAAAAAAGCCTAAAAACCAAGAAATCAACATTCTTCTTCAATTAAATTTCCAGAAAAACTCATGAGAATATAACACCAACCCAAACAATATACACAATCTCACCCCCTACCCCTCCCTCAATTCATGAAAATAATATAAGAAAAATAAACAAAAATACAAAAAATTACAACAATAAAAAAACACAACTGCGGCCAAGCCATCCCTTTCATGATAACACAATCACCCCACCCCATCTCACGTCCCCATCCTCAACCCTAGCCACCCCACCTCCACTCATTTCCCTAGTCACATGCACCCAACAAACCCCTCAACCCACCCATCATCCCCTACTCCTCGACCCACACACACTCTCTCTCTCTCTCTCTCCCTAGATTTGAACCCCACCATCATCACAACCCAATTTGTTGCACCAGTCCGCCCTTCTTTTCTTCAAGCTCTCGATGTAGTCCGTGAGCGCCACGAAGAACAGAGACGTGTCATCCGTCTTCGTCCTCATCACGCCATCCAGATCTAAGAAAGAAAGATAGGGGGAGAGAGGAAGAGAATGATGAAGAGAGTGGGAGAGAATGAAAGATCAGGATGAGGGTGGGTTTTTTTGGTTACTTTTTAAATTTTATTTTGTTTAAATGTAGTTGTTTATGTTTTTATTTTTATTTTTAAGTATTTGAATATTTAATTATATTTTATCTATGCGGAGGTGGGCTCCATTTGCCACATCACTCAATTGGTAGATAATGATCTATGTGTTTGAAATTACAAAAACATCATGCTACGTCATCATAGTTAACAAATTTTTAGATGGAATTAACGATATGGGGCAAAGTAGGTCACTAAACCACGGTCAAACGGGGTAAGTGAGTCACTTTAAGTTTGAGGGTGCAATGTGAGATTTGACCGTAGTTTTAGAGATTAGTGTAAATAAGTCCTTGGGTTATTCGCAGCAATGGTCCCTCAACTATACCCGTAGTTACACTTTGGTCCATCAATTCAATTATTAGTTGCGGGGGTCACTCAACTAGGTGATATGTTGCACCAGTAGTCCCTCCGTCAAACTCTATTAAATTTTCTGTCAAAAATGAAGGTAAATTCGGAAATTCATCCACAACCCTCCATTGTCGCAACCCAATCCTTGCTTCTCCTCTCTTGTACCAAAATCTGGGCAGAAAAAAGAAAAGAGAAAGACAACTCAATTGCTTCTCCTCCCTTGTACCAAACTCGCCACCCAATCCTTCCTCCCACCCCAACCCAGCACTCACTGTAAACCATCAACCATAAACATCCATCAATTTCTCTGTTTTTATATTTTGATTTTTCTATTCGTTTTTAGGAAGGTGTAAGCATCTATAAAGCCATCCACGGCAAATACTTGCACCACAAACGCAAACGAAAATTGTTCTCAATTTCTTTAGCTGCCACGACGCCATTGATGGAAGCAGACGAAGTAATGGAGCTATATGATTCTTACTGGTTTCAGCTCGGAATCTTCGAAAAGCAACCAAATTCATCAAACCCATCAAGGATTGAAGCAGACCCGGTTCTTGAAATTGAAGAAGAACCATCAAAACCAGAGCTTTTACGCATCCCGCCCCTCCTCCGTACCAGGTCCATGAGCGACAAATTGAGCTCCAAAACAAGCTTCAACTTCAGCTCCACTCCCTCACCAGACTCAGTCCTCCACAGACCAAAGCTCTTCACCATTCTCTCTGGCAAGGAAGCCACAGAAGTTGAAACCCCAATACAGAGACATGTCGAAGAGTCGCCAAAGAAGATTACGAGACGGAGGAGGAAGAAGAAGAAGGGTGAGAGCAAGAGCTTGACAGACCTTGAATTTGAAGAGCTAAATGGGTTTATGGATCTTGGTTTTGTTTTCTTAGAGGAAGACAAAGAAGATTCAAACTTGGCTTCGATCATTCCTGGGCTGCAAAGATTGGGGAAGAAGGACGGCCAAGATGAGGTCTTTGACGAGTCTACAATTCCAAGGTCTTACCTTTCTGAAGCTTGGAAGGTGAGGGATCAAAGAAAGAGAGAGAAGCCATTGATGAATTGGAGGTTTCCTGCGTTGGGCAATGAAATTGACATGAAAGACAATCTCAGATGGTGGGCTCACACAGTTGCTTCCACAGTTAGATGACGAATACTCTGCTTCTAAGATTTATTTTCCTTTTTTCTTTTTGGGTTTTGATTCATAGAGTTTGACGGAGGGACTACTGGTGCAACATAGCACCTAGTTGAGTGACCCCCGCAATTAATAATTGAATTGATGGACCAAAGTGTAACTACGGGTATAGTTGAGGGACCATTGCTACAAATAACCCTTAATATATTATCGTCCATTTCAATAGGATAGGTCCTAAAAAAAACTTGCTTTGAAAAGGGAAGGACGAAAGAACTCTCATCTATCGGTTAAACGTATGTCGTTTATTTTTGGGACTGCCTTATCAAATGTGCTTATCGGGAGACGAAACTGTGTTACCGACATAAAATGGCCGGCAGAGCCCATTGGCCTGTCTGCAGAGTTTGGACTGCACTATTACTTGAAGTGGGCCACCCTGCAATCGGCATATCCCACGTTTTCAGAATTGTGCATGTTGAGGTTTAAAAAGAATCTTCTTGCTAAGTTGACGTTGAAAATAGAGCTGGATTCTCTCTTTTCTTTTTATGCTTGTTTCTAAAATCTTAACCATTTAAACATAAGTATATGCAACATTTTATTTGCTTTGAAAGTGGAAGGACGAAAGAAGTCCCATCTACAAAAGAATAGAAACTACAAAACCCAATCCAGAGAGAGAGAGAGAGAGAGAGAGAGAGAGAGAGAGGCACACAGAAATTGGATAATTTGTTTAGATTATATGAATGGAGCAACTAATGTTGTATAATTGATAATTAATTAATTATAAAATCAATGAGAAACGAATGTCTAACAAAAACAGCTTTGTTTTGTGGCGGCTAGCTAGCTACCTACTGATAAAGGTACTGAATAATACTGATGAAAAATGAGGCCCTTGATGCACACCACACCATGCTCGTGTATTCTGTTTCATAATTTGTCTCCACTTCTATACACTCTCGTCACCTTTCTTTCTTTCTTTTTCGCCTTTTTCATGGCCTGCATAGCTTTCCCTTCTCTAATTCAAGTATTCATATGTTCTTTATATATATATAGCACTAGCTAGCACTTGAGACTTTGAAGTCACACATGGAGAAAGTGCAGGTGGTCTTGATCATGATGGTTAGACTAGTTTTCTTTCTTGTATCTATATTCTTATCTGTTTCCTTGGCAAAACATTCTCCGTCCAGTGTTAACGTTGTTTCTGGGATCTTCATCTTCGGAGACTCAATCTTCGACGCCGGAAACAACCACTTCAACAAGAACAGCACCGCTCAAGCAGATTTTCCCCCCTACGGCTCAACCTTCTTCCACTACCCCACTGGCAGGTTCACTAACGGCAGAACTGTTGCTGACTTCATTTGTGAGACCTACCTTACCTATAAATAATTATTACTAATTTTTATCATCAAATATATTAATCAAGTTATTTTCTTAAATTATTTGAAAATAGTTTTATATTATTGTATGTATATATGTGTGCAGCACAATTCATGGGCATTGATCTTCAAAAACCATATCTTGAGGCACAGATTGAAGTTCTCAATGGAAGCCTCAAGGATTATCCCTCCAATGGCATTAACTTTGCCAGTGCTGGCAGTGGTGTTTTGCAGGCAACAAATCGCGATTTGGTAATAAAAATCATACTCTTTCCACAGAATTTGGAGTAATACACAATTTTGACAATTTTGACAACATAAACATATTATGTAATCACGTCTATACATATGTGGATGCTAGGGCGTGACCTCACTCCAGGAACAATTACGACAATTCCAAACACTGGTGGAGCAAAAGCAGATTAACAAAACCCTAGTCCAAAACTCCATCTTCTTGTTCGAGTCTGGTTCCAACGACATCTTCAACTACTTTATCCCAATTGACCCTCCAAAACTTGACCCCGATGTCTATGTGCAAGCCATGCTAACCCAAGTCTCAAAATTCTTGGACCAAATCTACAAACTCGGCGCTCGCCGAGTCTCCATATTTTCACTGGGACCTGTTGGGTGTGTCCCAGCCAGGGCCCTCTTGCCAGGCAAACCCATTGATCGATGTTACGGGAAGATGAATGTGATGGTCAACAAATTCAACAAGGGTCTAGAAAGCTTGGTCAACGATTTGCCTTCTAAGCACCGCGGTGTGCTCAGTGTTTTCGGTGCAGTCTATGACATTGTTCAACACTTTCGAGCCACTCCTACACGTTACCGTATGGAATGTTCTTTAAATCAATTAATCACACTCTGTATACTAAACTAAGACGACATTGATTAATTAATATGCTAATTATGATTATATGTGTAGGGTTTTCGGACGTATCGAGTGCATGTTGCGGGGAAGGTACTCTAGGGGGAATGATACAGTGCGGCAAGGAGGGCTACAGGCTTTGTCCAAATCCCAATGAGTTTTTGTTCTGGGATTATTTCCATCCGTCGGAGCATGCTTACAAGCTCATATCCAAGGCCTTGTGGGCTGGCAAGAAATCTCGAATTAGACCTCTTAATTTGAAGACTCTAGTCAACATTAGCCTCCCTCATGTTTGACCAAAACATTTGATGAGTAAAATGGCATGTTATTGTTGAGAGTTTTTTTAAAGTCCGACTCATTTTACACCTCTAAATATATCCTATTAAGATTGAATACGAAATAATAGAATAATCCCACGTCTTATCAAAGAAAATAACAAGAGCAATATCAATTTTTTTTATTGTATTTATTACTTTTGTTTTTGTAATTATATTCTTCTGTCCTAGCCCAGAGCAACATTACAACAATCAAATTTAAAGATAAATTTGATGTGGACATGCTACCAAATATATGCTACCAATTTAAAAGTATGTACTAGCTAGCTAGGGTACCACATGTTTGGTTGGTTAAATATCGTTAACTCATTGAACATAAATGAGTAAATTGAGGGAAAAAAATCTCTCTCTGAGTGGGTGCAGCTTAATTATTGTTTGGGATAGGATTAGAATAGGCTGTCCGATGTCGATAAAGAAATGACAACTTGCATTCTTTGTTTCATTAACTTATATGCGGTCTTCATCTGCAGTCCTATATCCGTATGCCCCGTATACTGTGCGATCCCATCCAATATAGATATATCATTCATCACAAAAACACTTTCTCAACTGTTAGGCATGGCTTGTGTGAACGCCCACCGACAAACAATACGAAATGGCAGACATTCCAACCTAATTTGTTCGTGTATAAACTACTACGTATTTGATGTTTTAAGTTACCGTTTCAGTTTTTATAATCAAACCTAAGAGATTATGGTGGAGTGAAAACTAGTCTACTAAACTTCAAACTCTTGAATCGTCTAAACTGTTAAAATTGTCAAATCTAAAACGATCAGTGCCACAAAATTATGAAGATTATGGAACAATAACACTTGTTTGGAACCAAAAAACACCAATTTAAAAATAAAAAAATAAAAAAATTCATCCATGGAAGAAACTTGAACAGTGGGATGTAGAAGAAATTAAAGCGCAAGTTCTTCAATCAGAAAAAATAAACTGCAAAGGACAAGAGTAGACAAAATGGAAGAGCCATTAAACTCTCTTGTTTCCTATGGTTAGGGTGTACTTTTGGTGCGTGTTGACACCTCCAGTTGGATTTGCGCCCGAAGTAAACCCCTGAAAAGACATTATTAAATGAAATAATTACTTAAATGAATTGCTAGAAAATTTCCAAGCTTCTAGTAAACAATTGGGGGCAGTGAGTCACCACCAACAGCTGGAAACTCTCAAAGCGTGGAAGGTAATTTTTGGGCCCCACACGCATTCACAGCGAAAAATCGCATGACAAGGAGGAAGAGGCATGAGACATCAAAGTTTGAAACACATGCTCTTTCGCCTCCTTTTCCCAAACGCGCATTTTTCTTTCCTCTTTTTTATTTTCAATTTTAAACTTTTTTGGTAAAATACCAAACAAGTTACAACTTCCACAACTCCTATTTTTAAAAGCACATGATTTTATTTTTATTTTTATTTTTATTAATTTTATAATATGAAATATTCCGACTTTGATTGACTCCCTCTTTCCCTATATATACCCCCTCCCAACGTTTTTCCTCCCAAACCAACCAAACCAACCTTCTAACCAATTTTAATTCGTCACAAGTCTATAATGGGAAACTACATCTCATGTACTTTGGCCACGCCTCTGATCAAGAGCTACAAATCAGCAAGAGTGATCTTCCCAAACAGCGCCGTTCGACAGTTCCGGGAACCGATCAAAGCGGCGGAGCTCATGCTCGAGTGTCCGGGCACCTTCTTAGCAAACTCACAGTCTCGCCACATAGGCCGCAGATTCTCCGCTCTCGGCGCCGACGCGGAGTTGGAGTTTGGCAATGTTTACATCATGTTCCCGATGAGGAGGCTCAGCTCTATAGTCCCGGCCGCCGACATGGCAGTGTTCTTCATGGCGGCCAACTCCGCGGCCAAGCGCATATCCGGCGGCAAGGTCAGGATCTTGCCCGAAAACGGCCGCGAAGGAGGAGAAATGGTAGGAGCGGAGAGCGGGAAAGAAAGTCTTGATGATCAAGATCAAGATGGTAAAGGTGATCAAGGTCCACTGAGATTGAGTTTGGATGGAGTTGAGGGGTTGCAGGTGGCAGAGTTTCAGTATAGGTTAGCTGCCTGTAGGTCAAGGAAGCCGGTATTGGAAACCATCAAAGAAGAGCCGATTTCTTCAAGATAATTATGATTTTTCTTCTTCTTTTTCCTTTTTTTTATAAATTAGATAAGGGAATTAATATCTTATTAATTTGGCTTGTAACTGTAATGGTGGCAGTAGCTCTCTGAGGTTATTTTTTTCAAAGAGAAGGGTGAACGGGAGAGGTAGATTTGGTGTAATTTGGGGGAAATGGAATATAGTTAATATGCGTGACTTTGGTTGGTGGATAATTAATCACCAACTTACTATAATTACTATTGTAAAGATTTACACGTGTTTGGTGGAGAAAATAAAAGTCAGATCGTAGATGGATGCTTTCATTTCACATTATAGTTTTTACTTTAGTCAACAAAATATCAATCCAGATCGTGATTAAAGTAGCAGATTAACAAGATAACTATGCCAGTTTATTATTAAAAAATGAGGTAAAGAAGACTGGTGCAATTCCACTCGTCTCTCATCCACCACCTTATCCCTTTTTAAAAAATTTAGTTACAACTTAAGCTTGTCAATGTTGTGATTATGAGTTTTGTTAAAATATGTTTTGTCGTTATGTTTGATCCAAAAAAGTGTGTGTGTTCCATGAGATCATCACGGCAGCCACCGTTACAAAAACTGAGTGTTGTTGCCATCCAAAAACAGGAGTTGCTTGCAAGCTGAAACGCTCATACCCAATCTATGCCGCTTATGCAGCTGATTGACATGCAGGAGATTAAAACAAATACAATTAAAGAAAGAAACAACCACAAAATCTGGCAACTTAGGTTACCTATTTCTTTTCAACTAAAAGGAGTTAAAGAAAAGTTATTTTCGAGAGTAATTCTCTACAGATCCTTACAGATTTTCAGAGTTGGGAAAGTTTTACCCATATATGTCATATTGTTATTGAGATATGTGTCCTTTGTGCTCTTTATTCTCATTGATCTAATAAAATTCTATCGCATTTTTATCCCAAATGAAAAAAAGTTAAACTGTTTCTTTTAGAGAGCTGCTTAACTTAAAAATAGCAGTTAGTTTCTGACTAGAGCATTTAAGCGAACATAGTTATATTACATATAAACCGGTTTACAGAAGGAATATCTTGTACACGAGTTGTCCGAATGCATTGTACACACATGCCTGACATTCAATTTATTGAATTTGACACAGATTTACATATAGCATTAGTCTTACGCACATACGATACAAGTTACAACAACATCCATGTTGGCGAGAAACAGATAAACCTAATTCTCACGCCTCCGAGTATGGGCCCTAAAGCTTTTACATAACTACATAAAGGTTGTCAACTATCTTTGACATATTAACCAACGGACCAGCAGCAGATTGCGCTCAAATGTCCATGCCATCAAAAATTTCTCCATCTTCCTCGTAGCACAGCCCATCAGCCACCAAGTTACTGCCAAAAACAGCGAGTAAAACATAAAACCCCTTAGCCAATTGGTAATTTTTGGGAACATTGTTAAATTTTAATATGACTGTGACCCACCTTTCACAGCTGAGACGGAAACTCACAACACGTTTAAGTTTTCTATTATAGAAAAAGAAGTTGAATGACCATCTGAAGGAAGCAAACGAAGCACAATGTCAACGAAACATACACATGGGTAAGAGGTTAAGAGTAATGATGATACATCAACATCATGATCCGTGCAGCATGTGTAAATTTCTCAAGCAACCAAAAGGATAACTCACACAGCTCCTCTCTCAAGAAATGGATCAGCATCAGAGTCGGGAATGTAACTGTAAACTTCACATTCAGCTAATCTAACGACCTGCAGTACAATGCATCAGACAATTGACTCCTGGAACAGTTTGCATTCCAACTTCTTTTGAAAATATGCTTACCTCATCCAAAGCCTTGTACAAAGCTTCCAGCAAGGAACTGCCCTCATTGGTCTCTGTCCATTCCTGAATTCAATGGTCCCAAGAAACCAGAGAAAATGATCAACAAAGTCTTTGGCATAATAAAGCCTTCAGAATTCTAAAAAAACTAAATGTCATGACAAATGACAATGCACAAGACTCGGCATCTAGTCACCAACAGAACCGAAAGCGAGAGAAATTAGAAACCAACTCTTCAGCTAATGCAACAAACAATGAAATACCGTGCATTCATGAAATGTCCAAAACAAGTCAAGGTATCAAAGAGTATCAACACAAGTTAATATCAAGTAGGAACCAATCGACACATCAGTCAGACAAAGTTACCTTTGTGCAAAAAGAGAAAATGCAAGTAGGTGACATGGTATTCTATCGTTCATTACTAACACAACAAAGTAAGCACAACTGTTAGCATAGCAATACCTTTGATGCTTCAAACATATAGGTATCAAACATTTGCTTAAAACTGTCCCAGCTTTCCTCTGTGAAGAACTGGTGAGCATTTACTGCACTGGAAAACCGCAAAGATGTAGGCAATACCACAATACAAAGATACTATTTTTAAAAATCCACGTAAATGCATCAGAGTTCAATACGATCCATAGTGATAAGGTGCAGAATCAAAAACAAAATCCACCACATAAATGTTCAACATTTGAGACTTGGGAAATGGAGAGACTTGAACTCTCAGCTCCATGTAGAGCGACAGTTCGAACTGTCTGTCAAACCTCTTGACAACACTCCCAATGCAAACAGAAGAGGATTATAAAGTGGGTTGCCATGTCGCCCAATAAGCTGACAGTGGCATTACCCATAATCCTCTCATTCAGGCCTCCATGAAACACAAGATGTTTAATACAGTACAAGATACAGGGATACCTGAAGTCATAGTCCGGATACAGGTGATAGAGTGTCAAAACCAGGTAAATCAATGTCTTCCGGCTGGAATGAACATAAAGTATTAAAAATTAAACACCCATGAGAAACAACCTGCAACTTTCCAGATCTATCTAGTTAACATTGGTCACCTGGATCTGGTCAGCAGGAATTCAGCAGGTGAGGAAGAGTCAGTGTCCGAAGATTTCCCAAGATAATCAAGAATCTGATATTTAAACATAAAAATAATAAAGATCAAGATGTGTTACAAGAAAACCTTCAGTTGTTGTTTAAAAACAGATATTCGGAAAACAAGGATCACTTACTAATATACACAAACATACAGATGATACATATACATATTATCCATGTCTGTGTATTTGGAGCAAAAACTGAGAGGAAAGGAAACACAAAATAACAAATGTATAGAGAATGATAATAATAATAATAAAGGAAAAATAAAACATATTAATTGTTATATGTAACCTGATCTTACCTCATTCTCCAAACTGAGAGACAATTTCTTATCCGATCCCGTGTGTTTACCTAGTAATTAAAACATAACAGAAACTAAATCCTTCTGCAACAATCCACAAACACATTTTCAGAAAAAGAAAAAAAGAAACCGAATAATTTTGTACTTACAAGAGTAAGCTTCAAGACAACCATTAATGGTTCGCCCTCCGAGATTCAAATGACTAAAGAAATCATTTAATCTGCAAACGTAAAGCCCAAAACGTTATTATATTCACACAAAAACGCAGAGAATAAATGGGTCTAAATTAAGCGGGTGTTACAGTAAATCTACCGTTCCAACGGGGTGTATTCCAGGAACTTCATACTCAGTGAATGTCGAAGGCACCCTATGATTACAGAAAATTGGAAATCCTGTCAAATAAACAAATAATTCAATCACATACGAAGAACTCACAGCACACACAGGCAGACATCCAAATACGAAAATGAAAAGAAAAAAAAAAGCATACTTAAGCACAGAAACTACAAGCAAGCATTTACTGAGAATTGGATAAAACTATAAATATCACAAATAAGCAAAAGAAAAGTAGATTAAGAGGAGAAAAATGACGAACCGGAAGCACCTTAGAGGAAATTACCAGAATTAGGGGAAGGTCCCAAATTGGCCGATTTAGGGTTGGGCAGAACGGGATCCAGAGGTTTCAGACAGCCCGAAAAATCGAATATTCCAAAATTTGAAAGATAGCTCTCAAAGTCAAGCCTACCACAATATCAACGTGTGAGTCAATTGTTGGACAAGGGCCACGTGTTTATTGTTCGGATATTGACCAGAAAAGAAGGCCCGGCCCATTTTCTCATCTCGTCAACTGGGCCAATGGCCTTGACCGTTAATGTTACAAATTTTTTGGGACCCAAAGGACTATATGTTACAAATGCAACCTTTCCAAGCTTCAAGGACTTGTTTTTTTTTTTTTTTTTTTTTTGTTCTTATTGTTTTGATTGGAGGAAAAGCTTCCAAATAGGTTGGCTTCCGACGAACTAACACCATCATCAACTTTGTTATAAAATGTTACAAGCAAAATATGATAATATAATATTGAAATATAATTAGAATAAATGGATTTTTGTAGAAATGTCACATGAACTTATACATCAGTTTCAATTTGTCACCTTAAAGAAAAATTTAAGCAAAATGTCACCTTAAATTTTCAAAATCCATGATTTGTCACCTAACTTTAACATCATCCAATTTTCCATTCATTTTGAAGGGTATTTTAGTCTTTCCAATATGTAAACCCTCTTTTTTATATAATTTAAATATAAAGCTATGTAAACCCTCTTGTTTGGAAAGTCTAAAATACCTTTCAAAATATATGGAAAATTGGATGATGTTAAAGTCATATGACAAATCATGAATTTTGAAAACTTAAGGTGACATTTTGCTAAATTTTTTTTTAAGGTGACAAATTGAAACTAATGTATAAGTTCAGGTGACATTTCTACAAATATCCATAGAATAAGATTTTTGTTAAAATTGATCTAGTATTTATCATAAATGTCAGAATTCGACTCTCATCCTCATTTATATCAAATAAAGAAATGAAATGGTCGTAATGACTGAATGAATTGACAACATAGAAATAAAAAAAAAAACGTATATTATGCCACCTTAAATTTCTTTTATAATCTTTACCAAATAAAAAATAAAAAATTCTTTTAATAATAATAAAATCTTACAAATCAACCTAACATGGAATGGAAGAAACAGGATGATCCAAAAACTTGAAAATTGAGTAAAACCCTCGCGAGCACTTGCATTCGCCGAGCCCGGCAGCTGTGGTAGCAATAGCAAAGAATACGTAAAGCGCACCCATTTCCAGTGCCCACCACAGCACATGACAAAACCTTGAACCTCCTCCTCCTCCTCTGCTAATTTTTTAACACAGACACAATCTCGCTCTCTCAGTCGCAGATCTCTTCTAGAAAACTCATAACTCTCGCAAAAGCCTTGCGCTTTTTGTCCCAACGGGTTTTATTTTGATTTCTTCATTTTTGGCTGCTAATAGTCGATCCAATTTCTCATGTCTC